CTGCCCTCCCGCCTACCAGGCCTAGGCTGATGAGGTACAAGGAAGCCGGACAGGGGGAAAAGTTGGGAGAGAGCTGCCCCTCCCTCTCCACACACCCAGGTCTCTGATACATACCAGGTCGGCCTCCTCACCCGGTATTAAGTCCTGGATGAGGGATGCTTTGTTTTGAACCAACCTGGCCTTCAGCAGCAGCACTTTTAGGGTTGATGGGTGATCAACAAGATTGCCTCGGGTTTCTTTGGCTGGAAAAAAAAATTTATCGGAAGAACGGATGGGCACCGTCTGCCAACCCCTTCTTCCCCTAATCTGGCCTGTCCTTCCCCCACCGCCCTTGGCCCACCAGTAGCTCAACAGTAGTACCTGCTGGCCCTTCTCCTACCCAAGGCACATGGTAAAATAAAACAACTATTAGCAGTCTGCTGCTGGAGGATCAAAGGCAGGGGTCACTTCCTGCAAGAGCGCACAGGAGCAGAGCTCCGGCAGTAAAGAGCCCAAGGGGCGGGCACATGCAACAAGCCCCACCCCCTGCTCCCAGCAGCCCTCAGTCAGAGCAAGAAGCAGCCAGGTAAGTTGCAGAACCCCCCCGGACCCCCCAGCCCAAAACAGTCCAGTGGCAACTTTAAGACCAAGTTTTATTCAGGTACAAGCTCTCCCTCCTCTGTGAGGGCAAATCTGCACGCCCCCCCCCCAATAGCTAGCAATCCAAAACAGTCCAGTGGAGCCTGAGCGGTGGGTGTTGCCTCCTGACACACTTCCGGTGATGTCACGGGGTGCGGCGTATGCAAATAAGTTATGCTAATGAGTTATGCTAATGAGCTCCTGCACCTCTTTTTCTACGAAATGACCCCTGATCAAAGGTGTAAAAAAATCTGTCCAGGAGGCTGGGCTGTGTGAACCACAAGATGAACACATTCACTCCTGGGCACTTTGTAGACTGCTCTCAGTCCTCTGGTCTGTAGGCATCATTTTTCTACTTCTGCTGGTGTACCTGCTCTCCAAGTGCGGGAGAACAGTGATGCTCCTTGGCAAGTTGACTTGTTTAAAAAGACACTACCTGTTAAAGGAGGGATGGCCGTCACATCCAGCAGGTCTTATAGCAGGTCCAGGTCTTCTCACTAGCAGCTCTCCCCTATGTTACAGTTATGGTCCTCAAGACATTAAATTAGCCTACTGGCATTTAAAACTGCCTTTGTCATTCACATTTCAAGAAACAGCAACATAAATCTTTAGTGGTTTACTAAGTAAGTGATATAAAGAGTTCAGAAGTTGGGTTGACTATAGTATAGACCAAAGCATGCACTCAGTTCTGTTGGCAGCTCATCTTACTCTTTGAACAGTAGAACCGTATGTCTGAAATGTCCCCTTTCCAAAGATTTCTGGGATCTTGTTATTGGTCACAAAACAGACAGTGGCCCCGGTCACATGGGCCAGATAACACGGGGGTGAGGCATGGCTGTTTGCCCCGGAGCAAAGTAAAGCGTGGCAGCCCGATCACACGTCCCGTGGAGTTCCCGTGGTTACGCCGGTAGGTGCCGATCACACAGCTATCCTGAAGCGCGGCAAAGAAGCGGCGTGTCACGATCACACCGGCAATCGCTAGGCGCCGCTTCCGTGGCAAAGGGGAATTTTTCCCCACTGAAGTTTGTGCATGTGCATGATCAAGCAAGTGCATTCTGTGGAGACAAAAAAAAATCTGGTTTGCGACGGGACATGGACACCAGATGCCACGGGATTAGAGCAGAAATGCGATTCTGGAAACTAGTACATTGTATACGGTAGTTTTTTACTCCGCATCTTCGGCGGGAAGCCACGGTTTAGCCACGGGTGAACTACGCTACCCAGATGTTGCGGTGTGATCGCGCACCGAAAATCCACCTATCATCCGTGTCTTTAGCGTGGCAACTTCTCCGTGTGAACGGGACCAGTGTTTCCAAAGAAAATTCCCAGGTTATATTTACTTGAAACCTTTAATCTACATGGGAGGGGTTGCCTTTGGAAAATATCAAAATAAAGTTGAAAGATAAAAAGTTTCCAGTATCATCCATCTTCTTGTTTTTTAGCTTAAAGGAATGCCACATGTAGTAATCATTTAGTATCAGCTAAAACAGAAGTGTGGTTTTATGAATCATAAAGATCTGGCTGGCAAGAGGAGATATGGGAAAGATCAGCTTTTGTAGCAAGTAGTCCCAAGGGCTCTGCTTCCTCGTTTGTTTTCAGTGTCCACCTTCTACAACAGCAGCAGCAGCAGCCTTTGGTGCCTTCAAAACCCCCTTCAAATGATGGGACCCCTCCAGAATGTCACCCTGTGAGGCATGAGCGCCAGCATGGCATAGTGTTTAACTAGGATCTGGGCAGGGCTCTTTTTGTAGAAAAAGCCCAGCAGGAACTCATTAGCATAATAGGCCACACCCAACAGCAGGAACTCATTAGCATATTGGGCCACACCCCTGACAGCACAGCTCATTAGCACATTAGGCCGCACCCCCATGTTACCAGCAGTGTGCTCATCCAGCCACACCCACCTTTTGCTTGTTATTCTGTTTACCTTGTTTGTTGTCAAAACCCAGGACTTTTTTGCAGCAGAAACTCCTTTGCATGTTAGGCCACACACTCCTAATGTAGCCAATCCTAACACGTTTCTGCTGTTGGGTGTGGCCTATTATGCTAATGAGTTCCTGCTGGGCGTGGCCAACTTGGGAGCCAGCTGGAACTCCGTTCCTGTGCGTTCCTGCCCAAAAATAGCCCTGGATCTGGGAGATCCGTGACCGAATCCCCATTCGGCCACAAAGCAGCCATCTAGGCTTTACTGCCATCTATCCCAAAACTTCAGAGGAAGGTAGGTTTGGGAAAGATTACAGAAAAGCTAGGGAAACCCCAGGAGATGCAAAAACACAGCATGTTGCTGTGGGGAAATAGGGAAAACCCCGGCTTCCTAAGACCGTGGCAGATAAGCCATGCAGAAGTGGCCTTTTAAATGGTTCAGCTACAAACTTCCAGTATGTGATATATTTTGGTACTTAACTCACTAATCTCACTACATTCCAGTCTGTCGGCCCTGTCATGAAATGGCAAGGCTTGACATGAGTCCTGAAAATGTGTTCTGCTGCTTTTTGTAAAATGCATTCACATCGAACTGAAACGTCAGCTTCCTGAGAAGACGGTGTATAGGGTATATAGAAGTCGTTCAGGAGGACTTGTTTGTTTGCCTTTCGAATGACTGTTCCAAGTTATTTTAAATGTAAATAGCTTATCCTTCAGCCTGTCCGTAACTTCTCCCCGTCATCTGCATCTAAATGCAGTGACAAAAATCAATCAGCCTCTTTCTCCCCCACTAGATTACTTATTGGGCTTATACAAGGCAAGATATTAAAAACACTTTTGTCTGTAACCCCGCCACGGGCAGGGGAGGGGGAATTTGCCAGTTGCTAATGGATACCTGGCATTTTTGTGTATGACCATGAAGAACAGCTTGTGCACTTTCACCCCTGATGTTTCCTGAATAACATGGGGCTCATTTAGGTCAATAAGCCTTTATCAAAACGTCAGGAGTGAAAAATGTGTCTTGGTGTAAGCCGACTGGTCGTTCTCTCCAGTTGCAGGAGTCTATAGAACAATCAATGTTCTCTAAGCTTGTCTGCATGTCATGCAAAGAACTGGATGACAGTAACCATTGACTACATGTCTGTTTCATTGTCTTTAGGGCAGTCCGCATTTGCATATTTGTCAGTATTCCTGTTATCCAGTGAACCATGGAGGGTCTTTAAAAATACAGAGCTCTCATGCAAATCTCGCTCATAAACTTCCCCCCGCAAACCTACACATTGCAAATCAGAAAGCACCCACAACCTAGCCTTTTGTTTCTGTTTTCCTGCTCTTCTTACAACATTAAACTCTAATTTGCATTTGTGGAGTTTTTTGTCTGGTGCAAACTTTCACCCCCACCGCTTTCCCTTTCTCAAACTTTGATTTTAGTTATTCACTATTTTCTTTTATTTTAACATGTTGGGAAATGGTTGGTTTTTTCCACTCCTGAACCATGAGACTCTACTGCTTATTATTTCCCTCCTTACTTATTAGGTATCTTCATTCATAGTACAAGGAAATACAAGATGGAGTTTTATTTATATACTGGTAGAAAAGATACAACAAAAGGTAGAACTTTTGTGAAAGCTAATAAAAGAGATAGATTTGCCTTAATATTTTAATGAAGGAGATCACATAGCAGGTCTTATTAACTTTTACAAGTAGGTACTGCAGTAAATTGAATAAAAGCAGATGAGTTGCTTTGTGTGAAAAAGCTGAAAAGACTCAATATATAGAATAACAGTTTCCTGCTTCTCCCACAGCATACAAGACAAATAGTCATCCACAGGAAAAAGCACAGCAGGAACTCATTAGAATAATAGGCCACACCTGCCAGCAGAAATTCATTAGCATGTTAGGCCACACCCCTGACAGTACCGCTTATTAGCATATTAGGCCACACCCACATGCCTTCCCTTGGCTTGCCTGGACGCCTGGCGGCTGCAGGGTGCCCAGGCAAGCCAGCCCTTGGACAGGTTGGGAAAGGCACGGGGGCATTTAAATGCCTCCCTGATCCTTCCTGCCCCCCCTGGCCCGCCCACCTCAGAGTCAACGGGGGGTGGTCGCTTTCCAGGCCTTCCCTCTGTAGCCAGGCACGCAGAGGTTTTGGCTGTAGTGGGCGTGGCCAACTCTGAAGCCAGACAGAACTCCGTTCCTGTCCATTCCTGCCCCAAAATAGCCCTGGTCATCCAGAATTACAGCCTTCAACAACCACTGAAGTCAATTGGTTTAGAGGTTATGATCATTTTTAGGATTTCACTGTAAATTACCTATAATTCTTGAGCTCTTGACTTTTTTCCCCTATGAATTTTGATAGTCTATTGTTTGAATCCCAAATCTCATATTTTGTTTTCTTTTAGTATCTTCTGAAAATCCTTAAAAGCATGTTAATCTAGCTCCCTATCTTTTTCCTGTAGGAAATTGTATTAGTGGCGTTTTTTGGAACAGAATATGTGGTTCGATTGTGGTCTGCAGGGTGCCGCAGTAAATATGTCGGCTTTTGGGGAAGACTTCGTTTTGCTAGGAAGCCTATTTCTATAATTGGTAAGTAGATGTTGTTATGAATAGCTATTACGTAACAGTAATTTCCAAAGGGATTTATGCTAAGTTTCAAAGGGAGTTTTCTGTATTGTGTAAACACAGTTGATGATGTGGTTATCAAATTCTCCTGTGATGCAGTCATGTGGATAGTTACCTACAAAACCATCATTGGCTAAATAGGGTCGCCAACTTCCAGGTGGTTAAAGTCAAGGATGAGAGATCACGGGACAGGTTGAGCTTTGTAAGGAAACAGTGGGAGGGCTTCTAATGTCCTGGCCCCACTGGTGGACCTTCTGATGGCACCTGGTATTTCTGGCCACTGTGTGATACAGAGTGTTGGGCTGGATGGGCCTTTGGCCTGATCCAACATTGGCATCTCTTATGTTCTTATGTTCTTAACCGTGATATGACTAACGAGCTTTCGTTATCATATCACGGTGGTTTTTCCTTACAAAGTTCAACCTCCAGGTGGTGGCTGAAGATGTCCAGGGATTAGAACTGATCTCCAGGTGACAGAAATCAGTTCCCCTGGAGAAAAGGACTGCTTTGGAAGGTGGACTGTATGGTGTCATCTGCCACCGAAGTCCCTCTACTATCCAAACCCCGCCCTCCAAGTCAGCCCTTGGAAAAAGAAGAAAGTTGTCAATTTTTGATGAGTTATTTGGTCTAATTGTTTTCCTGTTAATTGAAGCATATTTCCTAAATATGCTGAGAAGAAAGTAGTCAATTTTGGATGGACTATTTGGTCCAACTGTTTTCTTGTTAATTGAAATAAAACATAGATCTTCCTCCTCATTTGACTTCATTTTTGACATGGAATCTAATATGTACAACATAACGCTCTTTAGGATTGCACTGTAATACATTTTATTCCAGCCTAAGTTTTGTGGGACACAGTTCACTCCATGCATCTGATGAAGTGAGTTCTAGTTTATGACAGATTATACTGGAATAACTTTTATTAATCGTTGGGGTGAGCTTGGCAGGCCTCCTGCTGCTGCTGTGTCACTTTCGGGTTGTACAAAGGGTAACTCTAGAAAGCAGTGGAAATTCTGTGGCTTCAAGGGATTCCTCAGACTGCCCTTTGTCATTTCGGGGTTTTCCCCAGAAATGACGTACTGACATCAGAACCATCCCCTATGTCCCTGACCCCAGCACTCTCACTGATTGCCAGGCTTAGCTTGGAGATTGGGCTCTTTTTGTAGCAGGAACTCCTTTGCATATTAGGCGACACACCCCTAATGTAGCCTATCCTCCAAGAGCTTACAGAGCTTTTATTACAGGGGCTACTGTAAACTCTTGGAGGATTGGCTACATTAGGGGTGTGTCGCCTAATATGCAAAGGAGTTCCTGCTACAAAAAGAGCCCTTTGTTTAATTTCACTAGAAATATGTTTTTCTTAAGTCTGTGTTATCACACAGTTTTAAATAAAGGATTCACCTTATCATGGCCCCACTTGATAACCGAGAAAACAAATATGCATCTTTTGGCTCACTGAGCCATTTTACTTTTAGCACTTACTGCTAGTAATAATGCAACCTACTGCTGGCGGAGTTCATGTAACCGTTTTGGGAATTCCGTGTCACACGCCATGCATCAATAATTTCATTGTCACATGCTGTGTTGGAACGGTTGATATTATATTTGAAATATGCTAAAGACTTCATGGAGAAGAATTATTATTTAAAATAATTTTAAGTAGGTGAGGTTGGGGGTGAACAGTACGACTTCATGCAAACCAATGTCTTCTATAATAAAATGAATTAACTGTAACTTTTAATTATGTGCCAGCAGTCTTATGCATGCTTATTTGAAAATAATTCCCCCTCCCAAATTAGTGTTATAGGACTGCAGCCCTATGCCACTTGCAGATTTGTAGCAGTTGTGTTATTCGAAGGATCCCAAGATTCAGCTTAGCTAACAGTGTACTGGAAAGATGAAAGATGTGTTGCAGTGATTTCAACTGCTTCATACAGCTTTCCTAAAGCATGCTTTGGAGGCATTTGGGAGAAGCGGCTTCACTGAGTAAAATATGCTTCATACTGATTAGCCAGACAACAAATATATACACTGCAAAAACCTTTTTTATAAGTTAAAGTGTTCTATATGTTCCATCTTATAAAGTGCATTGTGTATTATTCATAATATTCTAAAACAGGTATATATCCATTACATGCAATATCAACAATAATAATCAGTTTGTACAATTTAATAACTACCAGTCGATTTACATTCTTTTTACACAATCAACTCCAACGGGAGTTTCTAGAATTGTACATCCGCTTCTCCTTGCTTGAAAGTCTTCTAAAGGGGGAAGTTTCCTTTTGTAGTTACATTGAAGTTTAAATTGATGTTTGTTGCTGGTCCTACAGAAGGCCCATTAAGCAGCTGACATTCATAGACGGAGTGCTCCTGTCTTTCTCAAGGCTGCCTGATTAGCAGCATGGTCCCAAGCATCAAATTATTGTGTTTGGGATCACTCTTATGCATAATGTCTCTGGTCCATTCTTTTTTTTTGGGGGGGGGGAGGAGAGTTTGATAAATTATTACAGCTAGCACTCCTATTGATAATATCTGTTTACAAGTGGAGACTTCCACAAAATGTTGCACATTGTTTTTAACTTGCCCAGCAATGGCTGCAAAAGTAAGAACAGTTTTGCCTCTCTAGCCATCCTCAGACAGATTAAGAACAATATGTCCTCCCTCTCTTTCTGAGAATTCCAGGGCTCTCCTCGTATTCTAAAGAGGGGACTGTTCTACCCTTCTTGCAAGGAAGGGAAATCTCATCCCCCCCCCCACTGGTCCCCCTGCCCTCCATCTTGGAGCCCCCTCTCCTCTCCCCCTCAAAAACCCCTTGCTAGGTCCAGCAGAGCTGCCAATGGAGATGTGGAGCCTCTTGCGGCAGCCGTTGCCTGGCAGACTGCTGTGGCCGGGAAGACTGGTGCTTTGTGACCTAACCATCCCACCACAGGAGATATTGTATTGGGTTTCTGACAACCTCGAAGTGGCATGATATAATTTCATAAGATCTCGTTTGCAGGGAAAAACTGAAAAGCTAAAAAGGGTGGTTTAAAAACCCAGAAAAATAAATACCAAACTTGAGAGTCCCCCACCCAAGATCTGCATAAACACCTACCCAGGGCTTTTTTTGTAGAAAAAGCCCAGCAGGAACATAATGGGCCACACCCAACAGCACAGCTCATTAGCATATTAGGCCACACCCCATGTTACCAGAAGTGTGGTCATCCAGCCACACCCACCTTTTGCTTCTTATTCTGTTTACTTTGTTTATTGTCAAAACCCAGGGCTTTTTTTGTAGCAGGAACTTCTTTGCATGTTAGGCCACACACACCCTAATGTAGCCAATCCTAATGAGTTTCTGCTGTTGGGTGTGGCCTATTATGCTAATTAGTTCCTGCCGGGCGTGGCCAACTCGGGAGCCAGCCGGAACTCCGTTCCTGTGTGTTCCTGCCCAAAAATAGCCCTGCACCTACCTTATTTCAAAGTGGCCCCACTGCATAGATTTTTTTATCCATGCAGTCAGGCCAAGACGGGGGAAATAGGTATATGATTAAGTACTTGGTGAGGATTTGAAGGACATGTATGCTAGTATATCTACTCATTTAATAACTATACTTATATCAGACAAATGTTAAATAACATTTTTTAAAAAAAGCAAATGCCAAACATTTGTCAATAACCCTTGTACCTCATTGCTCATTGACCAGAACAGTAGAATTATTTCTTACTGAACAATTGGTTAGAATACGGCTTGTATGGTTTTTTCCCTGATATCTCCCTAAATGAGACTGGCTTTTTTAAAAAAAGAAAAATGAAATTTCAGGATCCAGGGAAGTTTCCCAGAATATTTGAGCAGCGGTGGCGGTGGTGAACAATTAGACCCTGCAAAATAAATTTATTTACTTATTTAATTCAATTTATATCCCGCCCTCCCTGCTAGGCGGGCACAGGGTGGCTTACATTAAAAAAAGTTAAATACATTAAAACACAAATAACAAAACGTCATAAAATCAGATAAAATTGCCCATGCCTGTAGCTCAGATTGTTGTCTGAAGGCACATGATGAAGTAGCCTTGTTAAAGTGAAGCAGGCCTGGGTCCGATCAGTGTCTGGATAAGAGAATACCTGAGAACTCCATGTACATCACCTTGAGGTCCATGTTGGAAGAAAGATGGGGCATGAGTGTAATAATGTTGTTTTTACAGGTGTTAGAATTTTTATGCAATCCAAGCAGTTGCTGAAGGGGAAAAAAATGAAGCCCCTTAAACTCTGAGATTATGCTGAGATAAGCGTTTAAGTGTCCAGCAAGTAACCTCTGCATTACGAATAGTGGTGAATTCAGGGGGGGGGGGGGGGCGGCTTTGCGCAAAAGACTTTGCTCCCATGAAAGCCCCACTCCTTTTTTGCAGTCTTCTTGCAGTGGGAGTCATCCTAGCAATGATGGCATGTACTTTTTAACTTACAGTTTTGCTTGTTTGTTTGTTTTTATCTTTCAGATTTAATTGTCGTCGTTGCTTCGATGATCGTGCTCTGTGTGGGTTCCAAACAAGTTTTTGCCACCTCTGCTATCAGGTAAACATGTTAACAATAATGAAACATTTTCTTTTTCCTGTCAAAAGTCCACAATTAGTCAAAAGCGTACAATGGCTGACCTTGTATTTCTTTTAATGACCTGTGTTCCAGAGGCATCCGGTTTCTGCAGATCCTGCGCATGCTTCATGTGGACCGGCAAGGTGGCACGTGGAGACTGTTGGGCTCAGTCGTTTTCATACATAGACAAGTAGGTAGAACTTTCCAGGGGGGGAGAATGAAAAATCAGTGAGAAGTCTGTTTTACTCTTGTGTTGCCAAGTATAAACTTGAGGAGCTCATCAGAGCCGTGGGGGCAGGTCTCAGTCTGTGGTGAGATTTTTATGAAAATCTCTTCTCTGAAGCGAGAAGAGTTGGATTTTTATTCCTGTATTTATTTACGTTTTTCCTCCCTAGGTGCGATTTAAATAAAATCAGTTTACACAATCAAAAATCAGTTTTAAGAATGAAAGAGAGAAAAAACACGGCTACATATTTTGTAGCTTGTGAGTCCTTTGTTCACACTGTCACCATAGCCTGGGAGCCTCTTGCCAAGAGCCCTTTGGCTTCCACCAAAAAGCTTGGGTGATTTCCCACAAGCGCTGCTCCGCGGTCAGTCCTCCCTTTTGCCCCATGGTACGTGTCAATTTCACACAAGCTGCTGCGCTGCCGCATTTTGCCCCACAGCTTTGTGCGATTTTCCCCGTGTCTACTCAATCTTCAAAAAACAGGATTGAGTAGAAGCGGGGGAAATCGCACGAAGCTACAGACAAAATGCGGTCGCGCAGCAGCTTGTGTGAAATTGACACGTACCATCGGGCCAAAGAGAAGAGTGAGTGCGGAGCAGCGCTTGTGGGAAATCACCCCTTGTGTCTCTGGCCATGACAAGGCTTTAAATACCTGTAGGCAAGAAACAGATGCTCAGCTAGATGCTATACAGCTGGCAAGGTGTCCCGGGCCTCAGAATGCAATTCTGTACCATGGTTGCTCTCTTTCCTACATGACCAATGATTTCATGATTCATTCATTACATAATTCATTTTACCACATACTTAGGTTCAATGATTTATCATCAGCCTTCAGATAGCCTGGCATCTTGGACTAATCTGATCATTTTGTGCTGAGTTTCAGGACTGGAATGTGACACTCAAAAATCCCTCTCTCTATTTTATTTATTTTATGTATTTATTGGGATTTTTACCCCGCCCTCCCCGCAAAGCGAGCTCAGGGCGGCTTACAAGGGGCAAGGCCCATATAAAACAAGGTAAAAGCAATTAAAACCATTAATAACAATTAATCACAACAACAATAATACTCAGGGCTTTTTTGTAGAAAAAGCCCAGCAGGAACTAATTAGCATAATAGGCCACACCCAACAGCATATTAGGCCACACCCCTGACAACACAGCTCATTGACATATTAGGCCACACCCCCATGCCTTCCCTTGGATTGCCTGGACGCCCCATGGCTGCGGGGAACCCGGGCAAGTCAGCCCTTGGAAAGGCCAGGGAAGGCACGGGGAGGCATTTAAATGCCTCCCCGATCCTTCCATGCCCCCCCGGCCCGCCCACTTCGGAGTCACTGAGGGGGGGTCGCTCTCCAGGCCTTCCCTCTGTAGCCACGCATGCAGAGGTTTTGGCTGTAGTGGGCGTGGCCAGCTCTGAAGCCAGCCGGAACTCCGTTCCTGTGCGTTCCTGCCCAGAAATAGCCCTGATAATACTCAATTAAAACAAGATGGTCCCCAGATGTATGCCATGATGGTAAACAGACAGTTCTCCGGAGATGATGTTGTCTTATAGCCGATCCCAAGGAAGTAAGTCCGGTGGTATCAGTCACACAAAAATTGTGGTAGATCTTCCCGGGCCATCATCATTGGTGTCGGTGGTAGTGGCTATGCTTTCTAGTCACTTAGATTGCAAATGTGACCGAACACTGAGTTCACCGTGGTGGCTGAACACCAGAATAACTTTTTCATAAGATTCCCCACAAATCATTTGCAAATCATTTGTTGTTGATTACCCATTTTGACACATTTGTTTTTTTATTCTACTTTTTAGGAATTGATAACCACTCTGTACATCGGCTTTCTAGGCCTGATTTTTTCTTCTTATTTTGTGTACCTGGCTGAAAAAGATGCTGTGAACGGTGATGACGAAAATAAGTTTGTCAGCTATGCAGATGCCCTTTGGTGGGGAGTAGTAAGTATAATCCATAGTAGAGAATAGCCAGTATATTTTTTTCTAACATGGTGCATTTCTGGTGCATAGAATGCATTGCCATAGAAACAGAAAATATGTGCTATGCCTTTTCTCTCCAGAGGAATAATAAGCTGCTCACAGTGCAACTGCAATCCTAAACAGAGTTACACTCGTTTAAACCCACTGAAGTCAGTGGGATTAGAAGGGTTTGGCTCTCTTTAGAACTGTACTGTCATTCGCTATCCCATTTTCAGATCTACGATCATCTTTCCACCTCCTTTATATAAAGACTATATGCCCAGCTCTGAATCCCACTCAAACATTCTGTTGCACACGTACACCGGGGTCATTTCCTGCAGGAGCGCACAGGAGCGGAGCTCCGGCAGTAAAGAGCCCAAGGGGCAGGCACATGCAACAAGCCCCGCCCCCTGCTCCCAGCAGCCCTCAGTCAGAGCAAGAAGCAGCCAGGTAAGCTGCAGAGCTCTCCCCCTGGCCCCCCGGTCCAAAACAGTCCAGTGGCACCTTTAGGACCAATTTTTATTCAGGTACAAGCTCTCCCTCCTCTGCAAGGACAGATCTGCACATCCCCCCCCCAATACCTAGCAATCCAAAACAGTCCAGTGGAGCCTGAGCAGTGGGTGTTGCCTTCTGACACACTTCCGGTGATGTCAGGGGGTGTGGCACATGCAAATGAGTTATGCTAATGAGCTCCTGCACCTCTTTTTCTACGAAATGACCCCTGCACGTACATAGTTTTTAATTATTTCAATAATGCATTGTATAAAGTTTTGTAAATCGTTGACACTCCTTGAAGAGCCTATAAAGAAGGTTAAACTGAGAGATGGTGACTTGTCCAAGACTGCCTGTTGAAAGCAATGGTAGTAACTTACATACTGGTGCACCACTAGCTTTCGTGCAGCAATTGTAATGTATAGAGCTGAAAGTATGCATGTCCAGTTAGGTGCACGTTTGAAACCATTGTTTCTTACATGGAGTTGATAAGAATCAATCTGTGGAACAATGTCTGATCGAGGCTTTATTCAGTAGAATGCTTTGGGACATATTTGAGAAGCTGTGTGTGAGCTTTCCTAATTCAAGATAATGGGTTCTGGACGATTCTGCATTGACTTTTCCCTCTGTTGTTTTACCAAAGGTACAGCTCAAAACCACATTTAAATACCGGGGCAACACTGTACTGACTGTGAAGTCACCCTGAACAATCATAAATATATGCAGAAGGTACCATTAAACCTGATGATCAAAGAAGGTGAAAGCGGCATACAGTGTAGTAAAGATAAAGGTTCCCTTGCTCGAAAGCCAGTCAGATCCGACTCTAGGGTTGCAGTGCTCATCTCCGTTTCAAAGCCGAAGACCCAACACTGTCTGAAGACGTTTCCGTGGTCATGTGGCCGGCATGACTAAACACCAAGGTGCACGGGACACTGTTACCTTCCCACCGAAGTGGTACCTATTTATCTACTTGCAATTTCTTGCTTTCAAACTGCTAGGTTGGCAGGAGCTGGAACTAGAGACGGGAGCTCACTCCGTCATGCGGCACACTCGGGTCTCGAACTGCTGAACTACCAACCTTCCACAGCCTGCAGTTCAGCGTCTTAACCACTTGAGCCACCGCAGCTCAGTCTAGTGTAGCACAGTGTAGAGGGTACCATAAAATCCAATGATCAAAGACAGTGAAAGCGGCATGCAGTGCAGAGGGGAATTTCTGTTCCAACATGGGTTTGGTAAAACTACGTAAGGAAAAGCCAATGCAAAATCGTCCTGTGATTATACTGTGGCCTGAAACCTCTGCTTTCCCCTCAGCTTCACTTTCCCTGCCAAGCCGCACAGTGCCCAAAGGGCCAAATGGAGGAGAAACATCTTGCTACAGCAAGCTGACCTTTCTTATTTTGAGAGCAGAGCTGAACTCCTCCCCCATCTCTGCTCCTTAGTGGCAATGAGTGAAGTGCCTGGATGGAGGTTAAATCCAAATTCTTCAGTCACCCTTTGAACTGGAGCAGTCCTATGAAAGTTGCCATTTAATTCAGGGGCTTATGGTGTTCCCTGTGGGAGAAAGCTGCATGTGGAAGGAGCAGCTGTGTTTTATTTGTTTGTTTAAAACATTTATTATCTGCCTTTCTTCCCCATGGAAGCTCAAGGCGGCTTATGATATAGGTAAAATACATAAAATTAAATACATAAAACTGATAAAAAACAACATTTAAAAATCACTAGGACTTTGGGCGATTTCTCACTAGAGCTGCCTCGCAGCACAGCCGCCGTGTGCCCCGACACAAACATGTCAATTTCACACCCGAAGCTCCGGGGCTGCATTTTGACTCGGGGCTTCGCCCGATTTCCTCCGCAGTTTCATGATCCTGGTTTTTGAGGATCATGAAACTGCGGAGGAAATCGGGCGAAGCCCCGAGTCAAAATGCAGCCCCGGAGCTTCGGGTGTGAAATTGACATGTTTGTGTCGGGGCACACGGCGGCTGTGCTGCGAGGGAGCTCTCATGTGAAAACACCCACAACATGTTTGTGTCGGGGCACACGGCGGCTGTGCTGCGAGGCAGCTCTAGTGAGAAATCGCCCAAAGTCCTAGTGATTTTTAAATGTTGTTTTTTATCAGT